CGCTTCGCGATTCTCAGATTAGACAGCTACCAGGCTAGACGAATGGGTGAGATTGGTCCGGGACTAACCTCTCTTTGTATCCTTCCCTCAGCCTGTATAATAAAATTACCATAACGTTTGTCCTTCACTGACAAGCCACATGCGGAGGCAGGTAGATGCATCTCTCTTATTGTTTTTTAGTTGCTGCACCTCTCTTTTTGTTTTCTGTTTGTCTTTTCTGGTTGCCATGAAATTTAGAGGTCCTTTTCTTTTAGCGATCTGACAAGTTTTCTCACATTTTATGTGAAGATAAATTTGTTTTCATTGCTGTTTGCATAACGTGGTATAAGCTATTTATTTTCATGATGTACTAGCTTTCTTTTGAAAAAGGTCATTGCTTTCCTACTTTAGATGTCTTATTGCAGTGGTAACACGATAACACATCGTGTTAATCAATTCATGAGGACTTTCACCAGTTCTGGGGATCAATTGATAAACACATTACTTATCAAATTGTTTTAAGTATACCCTTATCCTCCATTCCTTCCGCATTTGAACACAAATTTTTGTTGCACAGTTTTACTTTTTTTTCCACCAAGGGTGAAGAGGCTCATTTTAAGACAACTTTCTATTTTTAAATCATATTACCCTGTTTGTTTGTTTCTTTGTCACACAGTTTGCTCACACTAGTAGAAGCTGCAGCAGAAGGCAAAATCACAAATTGCTTATGCTTTAGTCCAACACTGAGCGGCAAAATTGATTGATGGAAATGTTCCATATATTGTCAATGGTCTCCATACTTCACTTTGCCACTGACTGCCAGCTGAAGTTCAAAAGAGAGAGGTAATTTGGAACCTCAGTCCGAGGAAACTAATTCCTTTATGAGAAAAATGTTGAAAATAAAAAAACCCGGCTGACAGTTCAAGCTCAAAGGACGAAATAACATTGTAATGAACTCTAGGAGTCTCACAACCTCTTTCCCTTGACATAGATTATATATAAACTGTTAACGATGCTTTAAAATTGTAAAATGCCGCCACAACAACAGTAATAACAAAATTATATTCATATAGCGTCTTTCGCATCGGAAAGACATCCCAAGCCGCTGGACAGTTAAGGGTTTGCACTTGAGTTGGGGGTTAGAGCCAAGAGGGGTGGAGGTTAGGGGTGGTGGGGGTGGGAGGGTGGCCAAAGCACAATCAAAGAGGAAAGTCTTGAGAAGGCCTTGAAGGAAGCAAGGGAGGGGGTGAGGCAGAAGGAATCCGGGATGGAGTTCCAGAGTTCTTTCTTTATTTTTTCTTGTTGAAAATGGTTAAACTGCAGAAATACATTTATTGTAATAGAGCACAGAACTCTACGCCATAAATTTAGAATAAAAATTGAATAGAACTGTCTTCAGAACTACTCCTCTGTGAGACTCTCAATAGTTTGAATTCGATATAATGAATATAAATATCATGTCATTGAAAAAAAAGTTTTATTTAATAAATTATTTTAAGTTAAATAAATTCTAAATAAAATTATGTTTTTGACCGCTTTTTCCAAAAATAGAAAGTTTGAGATCCTGTTTAATACTGAAACAATTGTCTGTGAGCGCTGGCTCCAAATACCATTGTTTATAATTCAGGTAATTCTCAGTAGTAACTGTGAGTCAAACAATCTACTATTCTTTCTGATACCTCTAGTTACATCTACTATTATTTCAGATACTTTGAGACAGCAGAACAAACTGCATAAATCCTGACTATAACCAAACTATATCAGTGTCATTGTGTTTCAGTATCTCTACTTTAATAAATGCCCCTGTTTTCATAGCAAGGCCTCTCACAGCCAAATGTTTTATGCTCAATGAGTTCCTTAATCTGGTTGTTTTCTTTTGCAAATGGAGCCTCGTACACTCGTTGCGTCTGATTACATTATGATTTGTTGAGCCTCTTATTGAAGTGATAGAATTGACATACCCTTGTTCCTATTGAATTGTGGTTCCTCGAATAGGGATAAAATGCTCCAAGGAGCGACCATCGAAGACACAGTTCATAGGTGGTGTTTTGAAAAAAGCCGCAGATATCTGCTCCAGTCTACAGTTTAATGGAACATGTATTAGAACATCAAATTTCAGCTCTGCATAATGAAAACCAGCATTCTGTACTAAATGTTGCCAAAAAGGACTTACATAGGATATTCCAAACAGACTGAACTCCATCATTCCTATAACACAGAAACAGTAGATTTTGCTTTAGAAAGGAGACTCGTTGAGGAGTCACAGGCATCTTAGAGCTGAGGTTCAATGAAATCAGTGCCTAATTTCAAACTGAGCAGTGGAACTCCAGCACTAAGCGCAGAATATTATGGCCATCATACACATTTAATGTTGTGGAAAGAAAGCGGCAGAATAAAAGCATCCACCCCCAGACACATAGCTTCATATTTGTGAAGGAATACTTCGGTCCAAGACGATATATGCTGCGCTGAAGCAACAGTCAGTTTCATAACACAAATCCCACCACGTGTGGTCTCAGAGGAAATGCAGTTGGAGACGTGAACCAATCAACGTAATTTAATCAGAAGAAACGGTTTTGTCTGTTGTTGTATCTGAACTAGTGACTAATACCCAGAATGGGTGATCAGTGAGAGACTGAATGATAGACTTATGGACTGAAGGCATGTATAACTGTACAGATGCATATTATTCTGTTCTCAGAGCATTGAGGACATACTAGCAGAGGCTTTATTAAGGCACATTCGTACAAAAACAGTATCTGAAATGTTACCCTTCGTACCAATGATTGATTTGTGCATTTGGTCCCAGCTGGCTGTGTTGTCTCCAAGCCAATGTCCAGACCACTGGCCACTGGTTGGGAATGTTGAACGAGTCACCACAAGGCCTCGTTCTCCAGTTACTTTCTGCAACGAACTGTGAAAATAATTTCAATGAATAAAGCGTGACTTCACAACTTTAAAGTTGATCAACAGTAGTCCTTTCTAGCATTTATCTAACAATGAAATACAATTACAAATGCATATTTTCTTCACAGTGACCATACAGTGAAGACACGTTGATTGTGTATATTTAAATGGTATTCTCGTGTGCAGGTTTTGTTTCTCTTTTCTGAGCACGTGAAGAAGAGATCTGTTACCTGGGAATTGAGGGTTAAACACATTTTCGGTTCAAATTGGTGACTGCTTCACCAAAGAATGGGTTAATTTGTTTTCAGTGCACACAGTGACAGCTTCATCGCACGAAAGGTGAACTGATTCTCACGTCATGTCACGTGGTGACACATTCACCCCACAAAGGGAACTCACTCTCAGTTCACACCCTTGTTAATTTTGGCAATTAGAACAAAGCAACCTCCAGGTTAATTACTGACACCTCCAGTGTTCAATGATTGTCATGAATCAGCAGTTTGTAGCATTGTGAATTAACACACTGTCCTTTCACCTTGGGAATTTGGGTTCCAATCCAACAAGGATTAATGGATTAAATGTGCTATGTCAACCCCTTTCCCAGTAGGTGTCAACTCATAATTTAGGACAAATTGACATGAATTTAACAATCTCGTCCAGCGATGACTGATATGAAAAGTAGATACTTTTCTTGCTCGTTTTAGGGAGCAGGGGGGTGGTTAAAAGTTATTATTGGAGCAGAGTAGAGGTATCTTTAGTCTGTATCAAACATGATATACTTTGACGTACAAGTGTACTGTATCCTTTGCATTCAAGCGCTCCGGGACGCTAGACTGCGTGAGAGGTGCTAGATAAATGCAAGTTGTCGTCGTTGATACACTAAAACCAATGACCACTAACCAATCAAAATATCAATCAAGTAATTCACAGATTACACATTTATGCCTTCAGTGTTCAAAGAGTTAAACTCCCTCAGGTTAGATTTTAAAAAGCATTAAAAGCCACAGCAAATGCACTGGTGAATCTCCTCTCCCAAGTACAACGCACAACACCTCTAAAAACAAAAATAGGATCAGGCACTTTTTATTCCATAAAATTGCACAAATGACTTTTGTGTCACATTGGAGCTAAAACATTATCCCTTATTGCTATTGATTGAGCTATAGAGCTCAATGTCAGTTTAAAACGTTTGTTGAATGTGTCCAATTGACCTAACAATGCTCATTTTGGGCATATTTGAATACTATGAAATACACAATCACTACACTTCACAAAAAATCCCGTGAAACATTTTGATATATCCTCCCGTCATAAAAGACGCTATATTAAATGCAATTACTTTTATTATATAAACATGTGCATTGTTTCACCCAAGTGGTTTTCTTGTTTATTATTTAGGTTTGCGTCAGCAGAATTGACCCTTTTCTGCCATTTAACTGCACAAACTATGAATTTCAAACCACAAAAGCAATTTTCCTGTGACTTACTCCAGTGTTGTCTGTGTTTGCGACCATCCATAAAGATTATGTACATCGTAGTGCCTGACTGATGTCCCGTCAGGTAGGATCTGTTCACTTTCCATACACAGGGTCTTGTGATTGAGCCCCATGCTCCTTGATTCAAGATCTGATGAAATAATATCACAGTTACCAAAAGATAAGGTTTACACAAAATTAAATCTAAACCGATAATACAATGATATTCCAATACAATGAACTCACCTTACAGTAGTCCTGTCTTGTTTAGCCCTTGATGTTTGCAAATGATTGTCTTACACTGTAACAGTTGTACACATTGACTCTTCCCTCCCGCCCACACCCCCCTCAGATTTTCACAAGCACATTAAAATACTTTAACTCAACTCTGCGCTTATACATCATGGTAACATAAAGGGAACCTCGTTACAGGGTCTTGAGGCGGGACTTGAAGGAGGCTAAAGAGGGGGCGAGGCGGAGTGACTGGGGGATGGAATTTCAGAGGTTGGGGGCAGAGTGGCTGAAGGTTCTCCCACCAATGGTGGGGAAGGGGACGTGGAGCAGCCAGAGCCGGCTGAGCGGAGGGAGCGGGTGTGTTTGTAGGGGGTTAGGAGGTCGCAGAGGTAGGGTGGGGCGAGACCATGGAGGGCTTTGTATGTGAGGATCAGGATCTTGAACTGGATCCTCTGAAGGATAGGGAGCCAATGGAGTCGGGCGAGAGTGGGGGAGATGGGGTTATGGGGTTTGGTGCGGGAGAGGATACGGGCTGTAGAGTTCTGGATTATCTGCAGCCTATGGAGGGAGGAGTTGGGAAGGTCGATGAGCAGGGCATTTGCATAGTTGAGCCTGGAGGTGATGAAGGCATGAACAAGGGTTTCAGCGGCCTGAGGGGTGAGGTAGTGGCGGAGTCGAGTGATGTTACGGAGAAAGTGCACTTAACGGCCATTTGAAAACTATAGAGTATATTAAAAAAAATTAAATTGTAAATCGGGCTCTTGAAATAGGCTTTCAGTTCTTGAAGAGTTAATCTGACAAACAGCAAACTCCTACTTTAAATAACAAGGCATGCCTGCAACCTTTTATCCCTGAACTCGGATGACCCTCTTCTATACTCTCTTGCAAGGCTCTGTTTGATGAAGCCATTAAAATGAAATGCTCTAACCTGGCATGTAAGGGGGTTGTTCAGTTTGTCATCTTTACAGTCATTCACAGACCCATGAACAAAACTTGCAGGTTCATTCATGTCCTGCAAAGTAGAAAACAATTTATTATCATATCCCTTTTTGTTGTTCCACTCAAAATGGCAATTTTTTTTTATTACAACACAAAATAAATCTCGAATGGAAAAAAAAACGTACAATCCACAGTCCATCGAACTTGACACTTGCACTTGGGTTGTCTGGATTGTCATAAAATTCTTTTATTGCTGCAAACCACCACTCCTTTGTTTCATTGCGGAAGAAATCTGGGAACGCAGCGAATGAGCGATAATGCTACAACAAAACAGAAACAACAGCTCATATCTACAGTGAGAGTGGTTCATGGACATTGTTCGCTAAGTATTTCTTGCATGATCAATCAGACCTGAATGATAACAGTGTCTAGTTCTTTGAGTTAAATTTACTAGTAGTTTAGAAATGTCTTGGTGTAAATATTAGTCCTTTCCTTTTTCAGTATAATTTGACTTTCTCCATCATGGTAACACAAAGGGAACCTCATTACAGGGTCTTCTGTGTCCAGCAGCTCATAGGCTCTGTAACTGACAACAGTGACATTTCCAGCACACAGCATGTACAGTACTCAGGGAATCATATCAGCAGCAACCTAATGATCCAGAAGGGGCTTTTAAAAGAAACACCTTAAGCTGGCTTGTCAGTGCAGGAAGCCAGGTCTACAGTGCAGATGCAAGGGGTGATATAAAGAGTTTCCTTTGTGTTAGGTTTTACGTAAGCATTATAAAATACATATATATCTTTACATTTTTACTTAATAATAATAATAATAATCCTTGCATTTGATATAGCGCTTTTCACGTCGGGAGGACTTCCCAAAAAGCTTCACAGAACACACTGTAAAGTGAATTGACTGTATATTTGTGGGCGAACGCGGCAGCCAATTGCGCACAGCAATGTCCCACAAACAGTCGTAGATTGAAAATGACCAATTTATTATTGTTTTTGGTTTTGGAGGGATTATTATTAGGCTCTGTGTGGAGTAAGGAAACTTGCCCAAGGTTTCCTCCGGCCTGGAATTGAACTCTGGTCTCTCACTTGCAAAGCGAGTGCTCTAACCACTGAGCTACAGGACTACTTTGGCCAGTAGTTGGGTAAACAGCACTGTTGCAAATCAGACTCACCTTCACTTGATAATCCCAATCTTTTGAGCTGTCAACAGTCACGTTTGGAAAATCTGGCCATACCTATAACATAGTTTTCAAAAGAGATTCAAATAGTTCCATTGCTCGCAATGCTACACAGGACTAGAGAAGCAGATTAAACAGACACTATATTGTGAGGCAATATTGGAAAAAAATGTTACATTTGTAAATAAGCACCAATTTCAATATAATTGTAAAATGCAGCTATGTCATATGATAAAAATATAATCAACATCATTTGCAATATGGTATATATTAGATTGAAGTTAAATTCAGAATACCTTTCCCCACACAATATCAGAACTATTTTTCCATTTAATGTATACATCGTTGTCTAATCCGCTGGTGAAGGCTTTGTATGGCACTGTTTCATTTCCGGAAATTGCTGGGTCCTTAAAAAAGAAACAGAAGTTGCACATTATACCAAGTGCCACACAAAAGAAACAAGAATTCAAATTTCAGTTATAGGAAGGGTGCCACACAAGCTTACCAAAATAATAACGATTCGCATTCTTTCAGCTTTCATTTCGTTAACCAGTTGTGGCATAGTTGCAAAATCATCCTTATCAATTGTAAAGTCCAGCTGGCGCTCCATGTAATCAATGTCAAAATATTGCACATCCTTCAACCAAAGTCACATTTTAATAAGAGGAAACGTCAGCGAAATAGATGGATTTAGTCCTACTTATTCAAAATACAGTTAAAACTTAACCGTTTTATCAAGTCCGTTGACATTAAGATTGCAAGACATTGCACAGCAACCACTTGCATTTATATAGCGCTCTTCCAGTAGGGCTGCTTATTGCAGTGGTTCGATCGAACAAACTTACGTATGGTATTCGTGCCTTCTTCATGTTTTTGTATAAGGTAGCTACTTCTTCAATATTCTTGTATCCGTATTGACATAACTGGAATCCTAGGGACCAGTATGGTGGCAGAACCGGGCGACCAATAAGCTAGAAAAAATAGGAGACAATTAATTATTTCATGAAACATTTTCTCAACCAGCACTCTGGAGTTTTTTTTTCCAAAAGTATAACGTGACCCTTAAATGTCTGAATGTTTACCTCGGTGTACTGTTGAACAACCATTTCTGGGGTTGGACCGAGAAAGACATAGAAGTCCAGGATTCCTCCAAGGATACGATATGTCAGAGTAGGAGCCTCTTGCAGTGTTACATCTGAAGGAAAGTGATGTTTATATTCAGTGTGATTCAAAATACTATTAAATATGCTTCTAATGGGCTTTTCCTCAATACAGTTTTATGAGTTGATAGCATAATAATGATAATCCTCGCGTTTGATACAGCGCCTTATGTCATCGAGACGTCTCAAAGCGCTTCACTAGGTATTGTAAAGTGCTTTTGACTGTGTGTTTTGTGGGTGTAACCTATGTAACTGCTGTTTGCTTTCCCATTTGTGGTTTAGATTATTCAAGAAAATACATTGAAGTTGTGAGAGTTGAAAAGGGCCTTCATAACATGTTAACCTCTAACTGTTTAACTATCAGCAGACTTATGGTACTTGGCTTGGTATGGACATTGTCATGATTGTCTGTAATTTACAAGCCTGAGAAGCAAGCTCTATTTGGTAAAAATAAATCAGTTACTTGGATGCTTTCAGACTACGTATTTACATAAGTGTTTGGCCAGCTAGGAAAGATTAATATTGATGAAAGATGACTGAAGTCCAGCATTTACACTACGGTGTTTAATCCCCATTCCAATTCTTCATGTTGTCTCTCTCCAGGAATCAGAATGGTTAACAGCCTTTGCATGTGTTACCTTCCCACAACTGTCTTTTGAAACCCCTCGAAACATAGATCCCTGAACGGTTAACAACAATGACAACTTGCATTTATATAGCGTTCCTCACGGAGGGTAGCAGTGACCCAGGGCGCTTCAATTTGATATATTTTGTTAACTTGAGTCTTTCAAAATACAATGACATTCCAACTTACCCATTGCATTGCTGTTGAACAGGAACACACCGTGGGCATTGGCATCGTTCTCGAGACACATATAAAAAGGATGGCTCCCATAGCTGTTCAATTGATGCTATGGACATAGGTTTGGAAATATACAGCAAAAAAAAATTAGATGATTGCTATTTAATAAAAAGAAAATAATGACCTCTTTCTATTTTGCGAATTTTTTCTTCAAATAAGGAATCCAACCCGGTACTCATTCTGCTAATGATGTCCCAGGGACTCTGGGCTGCTGGAAATTGTGATGGGACAAGAAATATTACCAATTGGATCCCAATGTCATGTTTCCAATAACAACAGACCCAGATTCATTGATTGCAATAACAAGATGTACAGTTGTGAGTGGGGAAGGGGTGGAGGGGTTAATGGAGATGGAAGTAGGTCGATGTGAGCTAAAGTCAATGCTTTTCTAAGGCACAACTTGTTCATGTTGATGAAATTAGATAGAACTGTTTGTCCTCCGTCAGCATCAACTCAATGCTATTATTGTCCAGCTGGTAAACCTGCAAACATTCTGTAATCAACAGTCCCATGTAACCTTTATTCATTTTCTGCGTTCAAAAACCTATATGTTTCCTTTTCGTTTTCATTTGCCTGAATACCCCTGCATTCAAATTACCTATTGGATTCAATTCTTTCAGGATTGATAACATTGATTTTGTTTCATCTCCACTCCAGTAACCCCATTTGTTAGCCTCTTCCACTCTAATTCATTCTCTAAGCAGTCACCTTGGTTACAGATGCTAGAAAATGCATCATATTAATGCTTTGTAAATTATGGATGCCAGAGTTGCTCTCGAGCTTCACACGGAGTCTGAAACTCTAATGATTATTGTGGCATCCTCAGCTTATAGAGTGAACACTAAAAATATACTCAGGGTTTTATTTTCAGGTGTTGTAAATACGTGTGTATCATTTGCATGTAATGGCAGAATTAAGCACAGAAAGGATTACAGAACACTTAGCTAATTATGTAATTAAGGGCACCTCCAATTCCCTGTTTACACATGGTTAGCCCAATCTGCAAATTGGCATCCCACTTTGCAAGGCCAGCGCACAGCATATTGCGAGAAATATCCTGAGAGTTAGTTTTATTCAAGAATATTGGTATTTCTCAACTCAAAACAAAACTGAAAAAATTATTATTTTTTGAAGGAATTGTCACCCCCAGAAAAGCGATCCGCTAATCGACTAACAACCAGGTAAACAGAAGCCTGTGGGAGTAAGGAAACTTGCCCAAAGTTTTGCCCTGCCGGGAATCGAACCCAGGTCTCTTGCTTGCGAGGCGAGTGCTCTAACCACTGACCTACAAGACTCCAGGATAAGGAGAGTACGAGTTATGATTGCATTGTGGCAGCCTTGCTTTTTTTTGACTGCTGGTTTCGTACCCCTGAGGTAGATTGACAAATGTGTCAGCTCGGGATTTGAACCAGACTGTCTGTACAGCTCAGAGAAACGCCAGGCTAAGCATTTTCCTTTTAATCCCTTTGCACTATTAAAAATAACTTTGCAATGTAAAATGCCTTTTAAGATGTTTTGAACTGAATGCCTCGATGTAAAATACTCAACATCAAGAGTTTATTTTAAATTGGCGCTCTCGTCCAAGATGAAATGATCAAAACTCGGGATCACATTTATTTTGAAGTTGGGGCTAATTGCCTTGAATTAGGGGTAATTTACCTCTGAGAAATAAGCATTACCTAGCAGTTATCTATGCCACAAGTCTGGCAAGTATTGAACATGAGAGATAAAGAGTTACAGAAGCGCCAAGCTCTGTGATTTATGTGTCAATTATTCCTGTTGTTTTCAAGTTTAAACTTTTAGTCATCATTTTGACTTACAAAACTGTTTAAATTGCGGCTGAGCTGATATGATTTTTCACTGCATTTGTTGTTCGTAATAAACGCCCAATAAACACCCAGGTCCCAAATAAAACACAACAGAGAAAATAACTTTTGGAACTTACTCCAGGAGGTTGGTCCTTGGCAAACATTCCCCAAGTATTCCAGTTAAGATCAAGCTTGAAGCTAGAATGTTCAGTTTCTCCAAGTCCATAAATATTTTCTGAAGGAAGGCTGGTTGAAATCTGGATGAACTGATCAGTAAACGTGAAGCCTCCAACTTGAGAATTCCAGCTGTTAGAAAAGAAAGAACTGAACTTAAATGGGGATCTCCCTTTCCTTTTTTTTAAACTCCTATTTTTAGTCACTTTATAGGATTTACGTCCAGAGCAGCCAGGCAAGGAGCAGCCAGTAAAAATCTATTTCTTATTTCTTGAAAGAAAATGTTTTGCCAAGTGCAAACGTGTACGTGTTGAAACAAAACAAAGTCAAACCATAATAAGCAGGTAAGGGAAAGAAAATGTAAGATCAACGAGCATCAATGGTGGCATAATTTGTACTTTGGTTACACTGTTAGAGTTGTGACTAACTACGTCACGTGAATATTTTCGGAAATGCTTCATTGATTCCTTTGTACCTTATTGCAGCTTACTATCAAAACAAAATAATATTTTTTTCTGATTAAATGTCTCATTACATTGAAACATCTCAAAACATTTCACATCATAAGATATTTTGAAGTGCAGTGACTCTTCTGTAGCCACACAACAGATGATCTGCGACACTAGCATCCAATAGGCAATGAGGTGACAATGAGGTTCATAGATTTATACAGCACAGAAGGAGGCCATTCGGCCCATTGTGTCTGTGCCGGTGTTGGAATATTGGAAGGTGGGAATATTGATCAGAACATCAAGTTAACTAATTGCTCTTCTTTGAAATTGTGCTATGGATCTTCACTGTCCAACTACTGAAAATACTTTGGTTTATAGTTCATCTAAGGAACAGGAACTTGACCAATGCAACACTTATTGATTACACTACTCAGATGTCAACGTTTGATTTGTAAAACCTTACATTCATCTGAAAGCTGTTCAACACTGCTGGGAGCCAAAGGAGGTTGAGAGGGGAAAGATGACCGAAAGCAAAGTTAAAGAGGTATGTCTTCTTGAGACAGACATTGAATGAGGCGAGGAAGGGAACGAGTTGGAGTGACTCCTGGTTGGAATTCCGGAGAGCGGGGAAAGAATGGCTGAAAGCTCACCTGCCAATTGTGGGGCAGGTAAGGGCAGGGGACATGAAGCAGGCTGGTGTTCACTGAGCAAAAGGAGTGGCCAAGTCAGTCTGTTTGAAGAAGGTCTTGGAAGAAAGGGGGCGCAATACTATGGAGGGATCTTCTGATTCAGAGACGAAATGGGCCAAACTGACATTGCCAAGACAGTAAAGACATCCAGGTACAACAACAACAATTTGCATTTATATAGCTTCACATAGAATAGTGTCTTGGAATGCTGGAATATAACAATACGCAATGAGAAACTTAACTACTTACATTACTGCATTGCTGCTCTTTCTTTTAACCATAATCCCAAATGGATTATAGGTTAATTGTACATCATAAAGTTGTTCAAAGGTTTCGTTTGCTGGAACATTTGGGATGTTAAGCGGGATTGGAACTTCATATCTCTTTTCTTTTGGATCAAAAATCTGCAGAACAATTAGGTATTATATCATTGATATTGTTAAATGGTAGTTATCTTTCATGTATGAATGCAAGGTTTTACAAATCAGTTTATGAGGGTCTTTTATACAAGACATTTATATAGCATTTTTCACATTGGGCTGACGTCCCAAAGTGCTGGACAGTCAGGGATTTGGACACGAGCAGGGGATTGGGATCAGGAGGGGAAGAGGGCTTGGGTAGGAGGGGGCCCGAAGGTGCGCTCGAAGAGGAGGGTCTTGAGACGTGCCTTGGAGGAGGCAAGGGAGGGAGCAAAGCGATTGTGGGATAGAGTTTCAGATAAGCTGACAGCTGGACTGCTGGTAGGTTTGGGTTTGTGAAACAGGCTGGTGCCCACTGAGTGGAGGGAGGGAGCCGCTGGGTGGGTAGGGTTTCAGAAGGTCAGGAACAACGGAGGGATTTAAAGATTAGGATGAAGATCTTGAACTCGAGCCTCTGGGAGATTAGGAGTCAGTGAAGTTGGGCGATTTTATGCCACGTTTACATTGAAAGCTCAGCCGACCACACAGACCAGTCATTAACTTGTACCTTAACATGTGCTGACGGGGATCAGAAAAATATAGAGCAACTTTGAAAATGTGGCATTGCTGTGATGTGTTGCCACCAGCGCTGTGGGTGCCATCCCACGGTGTAGGGCAGAGTGAACGTACAGCACCGGCAGATTTGGGACGCTGCAGAACCACTTGGATTCGAAGCAGCTCTGCGCTATCTCACCGTAGAAGCTCAGTATATTCAACCACAGCACTAGCCAGAGAGCAGTGCACGGAGCATCAACGATGCCTTGCACCGCTAGGGTATCTTGTCAGAAACAATGAGTAACACAAAATCACAGCTCATCACAATGGCTAACACACACCTCTGTCTCGACAGGAACTGGCGCTTAATTGCATGAATTGCTGTGAAAGTAACAGTAAAATATATTGAATATAATCCGTGTTCAGACATTTAAGGTACAAATTAAACATGCAATGAACCACAATTAAGTGAGTCTGTTTTTAAAAAAAAATATAACGCTATTGTTAGCCAACCTTAAAATTCAGCATGTGCTGATTCAGGGACGTGACCTCAATCTTTAGAACTTCGATAGTCGGGGTCTGGCCCTTGAAGCGTTCAGGATACTTTGTGTTCCGTTTAACTTGTGTGCTCATTCTGGCTTGTGATTTAACGATCCCGTAGCTTGAATCAATTTGATAACCATAGTCATATGGGTAGAAGCAGGAAGGCACTTCAGATTTGTGAGGCAACTGCAAGAAAAAAAACAAAATTGAGGTTTTCACATACAGTAAATTAGAAGAACAAGTTGTGGTAAAATCAATCGCATGTAATTTACTTAAGTGAACTCCATTAAATGTATTTTGCTGTAAATTGGATAATAACTCAGCATATTTCAGTCTATTTAAATAGACTTTTTATCAAACCATCACTATAATTTTTTTGATAATTGATAATCATACCTCTCACGAAGGGGATATTTAATTTTACACATCATGGGTTTGTGGCTGCCAGGCACGTTGATTATAAATTCAGTATTGCACTGAAATTCTGTAAATGATTTTCCGAGTCTATTGTTCAGATACGAATTGAAAATGAAACCTGTCATGGCATTGTCAGGCTGCCTTTATCAAGTCCATCAAACATTAAAAAAAAGATTCAGATAAGCAACTTTATGCTCGTGAATATTGCTCTCATGCCTAAGCTTATTAATCTGCTTTATTTGTATACATAGCAAATACAAGGTATATGTTGGCAATACAGTCAAATTAGAATGAATCTACATTCTCTTTGCTGTCTAAGTGTTTGTTTAATTCTTTTTGCAAAAATTGAACTGTTACGTTCTACTAATGTAAAGGGGGTAGGTAAGATTTTTATTAGCTGTCAATAATGTTTCATAGCTGTCAATAATACTGATTACATTAAACACATTGTGAAACTCCACTGGTTTGGGGAAGAATTTCATTTGCAGAATTTCAGTGCATTATAATAGCTGCCATCTTAACTCTGCCAATCAAAACAGCTTTTTGTTTGCTTCTTTTTTTAATCAGTTTAGTGTGGGTTGTCACTTCAGAGAGGATGCACTAGGTTGAGGTATAAGAACATATACGTATTATTACTGGCATATTATTCGTAAATTCTCAAACTTCCTAGGTTGATCAGTAGCATTGACTGTAAGGTCTGTTAATAATAAAATCATTCTTATTACCTCCCACCCCCACCAGCCATCCACCCCTTCTGACCCTGACTCCCAGCTCAGGTCCAAAAAACCCTGCTCGTCCAGCGCCCTGGGACATCTTTCCGATGTGAAGGGTGCTATGGAAGTGTAATTTATTGTTGTTGTTTTAGTAGTAAAAGGGCAGGACAATCGTGGAATGGATAATGTCTTCACAGAATGGTACAGTCAAACCTCCTTTCAGCAACCGCTCAGGGGACTGGTCCAAAGTGGCCTTTATGTAAGCGTGGCCCCTGAATAAGTGTTCGTTGGTTTGTTGACTAGGACCAATATTACAAAAAAAATCCATAGGGGAGAAATTTCTACTGTATTCACTTCAAAAGCTTGCGAGAAGGTAACTTGTGTTGGAGCCTCCCTCCAATGATGACTTCATCCTGTGAAGCTATTCTTCAAGGTAATGGTTTTACCTTTGGATGTTTCTGACTTCCTTTCATGGGTTGTGAGAAAAAGTAAATTGAAGTCTCAAAATTGACTCCTTGCCATGTTATTATATTACTTACCTCATCCCATTGACAACCACGATTTTTGCAGGCTTCTTCAGTTATATATCCTTCAGGGTTACAATTAATCTTCTCAACATCCCGCGGTGTGGATTTCCATTCTACTGTATATGCCTCTCCTAGTACAAGTTGAAGCCCTTTTATAAGAGTAACCTGTGAAAAGATTTTAAAAAAGTAACGTTAAGAACATTCAGGGACAAACATTGTGAAGGTCATGCATAAAAACATTCATTAAGTTGGGCAATGGCATCGGGGTATAATTTTGTAATATCCAGAATCGGATGGGTTTCGTTTATAGGCATTTCATCAATTCAGCGATTCTTCTGAAGAGCCGTAAATAACTGATTTGCCTCATCTCCTGTCTCAGCTCTTGCAATAATGGTAAAAAAAACTCTACAAATTTTAGATTGTGAACTCTGCAGCTGATGAATTGCAGGTTTGACAAGTAGAAAATAGACGGGTGAGGAAAATACAATCTGAGATCTTGGAATCTGGAAGTTGCAATTAATGCAACAAATTCAGGGTGCGAATAGTACAAATTTAGATGCCAATCTCTGCTGATGAAAGAATTTAAAATGTACTTTGGTATATTACTGCCAATATTGACAGTTTAATACTATTATGTATGCTGTATTTATAGTAATATGCTGTCACACACGTCAGCATCTGTGTAAGATAGATACTGACAGATACAAAGGCATGACAGCTTTTTATTAAAAGAATAACAAAATTAGGTAATTATTTCTCAATTAATGCAGTCATAAAACAAAGGTTTCCATTAGTCTCCATAGATTTGCTTTTTCAACTGTTGATCTCTATTTTCTTAGAACTTCTATCTCATAAGAAGTAGTAGCAGATTAAAGGACGCTCCAAAATGCTGCATTGAATGGATTCCATAATTATGGAATTAATTACACCTCCGTGTTAGTTTGTCAAAGCAGGGTAAATGTAAAAGAAAAATCCAAGTTTACAAGCTAAAAAGCTAATTGCTATTTTCCAAACATCAATTTCGTAAAGGTAGGAATCATTGTACAGTCACATTTTACTGATAGAATCGATGAGGTCTATGGGTTCTAGGTTCGGGCTCCAGACATAGCTTAAGCTGTGGAAACTGGATTTTGTTGGTCATGCCTTTCCACCGTGCACAGTTAATTCCCATTCTACGTGTATTCAATGCAGTTTCAAACTGTGGCTGATTAATGTAGCTCGACTTCATGTTATCTACAAACGTAAGTAACTTACCCTGGGTCTGCGAATCCAAGTCGTTAATATATACAGAGAACAGGAAGGGTCCCAGTACAGAGCCACGAGTCAATCAAATTAAATCAGTTATCATAGCTCTATATAAATATACAATGAAGATAACTAGGAATGACCGAATTAATGTTTGTAGATATTATGGGGAAAAAACAAATTAATGTACTTCATGGCACAAAAGTGCAAACCTGGAGAGATTCTATTTGCATATAAAATATTATTGTTGTGAGACATTGACCTTTACCTTAGTTGACTTGTCATAGTCAATATCGCTTTCAGGTATAACGATCTCATCAGCTCCCTTTTTCACAGTGACATTTCTTGGAAGGTATTGGAGACCGAGGATTGTAATTTCTTCAAATTGAAGATTGTTTGGATCTTTATATCCATTTTTTAACACTTCGAGTTTTAAAACATCCTAAGAGAGAAAGACAGAGCTTACTAAACATAACCAAGGCACTGGGTTACTTATTCAATTGCATCATTAAATATTTCCCGGACACGCATTTGATATAACAAGGCCAAGTTGCCCCATTTTCATTAAAGAATCTACATATGTTTATAATTTAAAATCTTTAAAACAATACAATTTACATTTATGTAGCGCCTTTCATGTTGGGATGATGTGTCAAAGTGCCTAAAGCATTCATATGGTTTACAAGTTCAACTTATGACCAATGTAAACAGTCTTGTTGGTGAAATAGCAAAATACTGAATATAAACAATTTGTACAACATGAAATCCAACAGTGATAAGCCATTGAATTAATGTGAACAGACTAACCTGCGCTACTGAAAACCGATAGGAGATATATTGTTCCTTTTCGAATGTATCTGTAATGTAAGACGTGCATGTCAATTCCTAAACACAGCAGCAGAGGAAATGATATTGATTTGTTTAAAATAGCAATTAAATTAGGTTTCTAAAATGCGCTCAGAATTCAGAATGGAACAATAAGGTTATTCCACAGCAAATGTATTGCTTATGGTCGATAGTGTAGCTCACCAACAAAATAACTCCATTAGTCTGATTTGATACTCTGAAACATCAGCTTGAGCTCAGAGAAAAGCTACGCAGCCTGTGTTGCTGTGTGTGTTGAAATGATTGACACATCGGGATAACATGGAGAAAAATACCTACCTTATTAGGTATTGATAAAATACCTATCTTATTAAGTATTGATAAAATACCTATCTTATTAGGTATTGATCACCCTTTATATGTTTTCAAACTTTTTGCCAGAATTTATTGACAAATTAAGGTAGAAATTCTATCTGGATCCTAGATTTACTGCGTTAAAGCAGAGTTTCCAAATTGCTGGATTTGGTAAACTGTTGAATTCCATTTCAACTTTCAAGCCCATTTTCTGTAGTTTTTTTTTAAAAAAAAAGCTTCAAGATTGAAAACTGTATTTCAGAATTTGACAAATTTTGGACAAATTTTCTGAATACAATACAATTTACATTTATACAGTGCTACGCTAAGAATAAACTAGACCCAGGTAGAATTTTACCACTTATCAGGCGATAGGTCTGAGTGTCTACATCTGAGTGTCTATGTGTCAACCTATAGACTGCTTTGAACATGGTACGTTTCATAGAATACCTCTGGATTCCCCGTCATCCCAGAACAATCGCCCTTCAGCCCTTCCTTGCTCATCAAGCGCAATAAGAAGACCCATGGGGTTTTTCCGACTACAGGAGAATAAAGTATTTGTTTAGCATCAGATTATAACTGTAACATCCGTTCTGTTATTGCAGACAACTTGATCTGCAAGAAAGGAAACGGACTTCAAAATTATACACCAATTTTGAAGGATTTGACGAATTCTGGACAGTCAGAAATGCTTAATTTATTAGAGTAACGCACCTATAAAATGTAGAGTTAGCTGGTTGCTGAGTTGGGAAGACAAAGCCACCTCTGACATGAAGTCCTAATTTATCTTCTGGTAGTTGCAGAGTTACCCATTGCTTTTGAGAAAATATGGAGCCACCCTGGTTTAACAACACAATAACAATAGCTTAAGAATATGCATCCAGTGCATATAGATTTATAATTGTCTGTAGTAGTGCAGAGGGAAACTCAGATGATTAATAAAATACAGTCTCTGCATCATTTCATGTCTCAGCCATTGCATTTAATGAAAATAATGTTTCCTTGTTGGTAATGACAATTTTACTGCAGTAGCTCAGTGGTTAGAGCACTCGCCTCACAAGCGAGAGACCTGGGTTCGATTCCCGGCAGAGCGAAACCTTGGGCGAGTTTCCTTACTCCACTCGCCTGATAATAATGCCTCAAGAAACAAAATAAAATAATAATTTGGTCACTCAATCCAGGACTGTTTGTGGGACACTGCTGTGCGCGATTGGCTGCTGCATTTTGTCCACAAATATACAGTGAATTCACTTTACAGCATATTCTGTGAAGAGCTTTGAGACGTCTCGGAGACATGAAAAACACTATATCAAATGCAAGGATTAATTACTGGGCACCGCATTTCATCTGATATATTAGATACTTTAGATTAGATAATTCAACCTGTTAGATCTGTGTTGCTTGGTGTGTTAATGCATTTGTTATGATACAAATGAAGGACAACATGCACCCGAGCACTAGCTCTGTGGGCCGTGGTTACAGGGCTTTCAACAACCTGTTAAAGAATCTGCCTGGTTTCTCTCAGTTTAGGGTTCCACAAATGACAATTATGGAGAAGGTTGGAATCATATCCAACCAGTTTGGGGAAAAAAAAGATTGTGTGAATGCTGAAAGGGGGGGTGCAATGTTTGAAGGAAACAGCAACTTGCATTTATATAGCGTCCTTCGCGTTGGGCGGTGTCTCAGAGTGCTGCATCGCATAGAAACTGAATTATATACTTGGGATGGAACTGACAACATTTTTAATACGTTCTGCAATTCCAACCCAAGAATTTATTCAGTTGATTTCTTATTCAGAATGTGCTTAACCTTTATTGAAAGAATACCTTCAAAGCACAACAGAATATAAGAAGCAAGATAATTGAAAGTTTGGGATCTAACTATAAAACTGGAATTAAAATGTTATTTACCGTCTCATATTCATACCAAACTGCATCAGGAAAGTAAGCTTGTATTTTTGTTGTCTTCTGAAAATAAGAATAAGTATGTAAGAATCATTACATGAATACCTGAAGCTAAATACAACATTTTCACAATACCATGACTGGTTGGTACAGTATTCCACCAATATGTACCACTGATTCAAGTCCTTAATATCCCCTGTGGTACAGTATATTCCCAATCTTAGCTGAGTAAACAAAGTAAAGCATTGAGTGGACCTATCTGCTAAAAAAATCATCCGATAGCTTGTTGGAAAACCTGCTTTTTCAGCCAAATTTGATGTTGACTGAAAAATAAAGCGCGGAGACAGATACGGAAGTGGTTGGGGAGATATTAAACAATGAGGAAAAGTACATAGGTCGAATCATGTTCAGTTCAACAGTCCATTGAATTATTAATAGGACAGTATATAACAAAGTGTTTAATTAAAACTTTTGACACTATGCATTCTTGTAGAAAAGCTAATTAAAAAGCTGGAATATGGATTAGCAGGTTAAGCGGTAATGATAGGGTGAAATTGGTTGTATGGACTTTAAGGAATACTGCAAATGTTACTCCTCTTTGTTTCCTGATCGGTGTACACATTTAAAATAACAGCAGAAGGTCAACCAGACGCAGTCAATTAACATACAGGATCCAGCACTGGGCTGATGAGAAGAGCAGGTCCCCAGAGAAACTGTCGGTCCACAGTCCATGTTTGATTGTCTGAAGGAAACCTTGTAAAAGATAAAGCATTTTATGTGTTTACAATGTGGAGTTACACTAATGTCTTTAAGGTAAGAAAGGAAAGTGCTGCACAGTCAAAGCCTTTTGTGGCTGGTGAACCCAGCTCTATCTGTATCCGAGCACAGGTCAGATTTAACCAGAAATCCCTTTAAATTGTTCGGCAAGACAGCTCAACCTTCTCAGCCCACTCTGCGAAGCCCCCACATCCTATCAAATTGTGAAACTGATCCCGTCTTCACATTTTTGCAGTCTCAGAATACCAGTCAGAAAACGCAGGGTGCTATTATTTACTAACAGAAGCTTTAGAATCCTGTCCTCCCGAATTAAATGGTCCCTGGATGGAATGACTGCAAACAGATTATGTTGGTGAGATCTGCCGTAGACTATCAGCAAGGCAAGCTGGAACAGCAGCTCAAATCGCTGTGGATCTTATTTATAGGAGCTTCATCTTCTTCCTTTTTGACCATTACATTGCTTCACAGTTCAATAGCAGATAATGTTTACACAAAAGAGCTAACTCCAGGGATTCTTATTATCAGAATGGATTAATCGTGTGTAGCCATGACCTTAGTGATTGTAAGCCACTTTTTTTGTTTTAAACTTACTCATGAAGCAATGAACGAACCACTGTGCTTCCATTGACGTGAGCCTCGTGGAAGAGAGTGTAGAGGTAAGGCAGCAATGTATATCGGATATTCAGGTAATGTCTTGATGTGTTCACTAGAAGGGACGTTTCACCAAAAAAAGCAGGATCTTGAGGCTAAAGATAAGATTTGTATCCATCATATTATTCGTGATCCAAATATTCTGCCAAAGCAATGCAATATTCACTACTATCTCAGACAACTTACCTTGTATCCCTCAGCATTGTGGTTCCTGGAAAATGGATAAAATGCTCCAACTTGCATCCAGCGACTGCAAAGATCTTCATCTGCATTACCGAAGAAGCCACAAATATCAGCTCCAATCTACAGAAACAATACAGTGTTAGCCCCTTATAGGACAGCATGCTGAACATCTATAAGCAGCTGATTCCACAACAATACAATTTTGTTTGCCTAATAAATACACATGTCGATACACTTTATATCCTGTGAGACGTCTTCCTGGCGTGAAAGAAGTCGTATCAAATACAAGCATTGTTTTTATAGCATAAATAGGTTACTTTGGATCTTTGATTTGATTAATGCCTTACCATCATTGAAAACATTTTCAACAGGTTTTTTTCAAACATATTTGCTTCCCTAAAACAAAGATACACAGGAGTCCGTTGGGGAAAAACGTACAGAGGGTGAGACAACTGAAAGTGAACTTACGTAGGGAAAGCCAAAAAGGTTAAACTCCAGCATTCCAGGAATTGCCCATTTCATGTCATTCCAATTTGCTCCGTTATCTCCCAGCCAGTGTCCAGTATATTTTCCTGATCCGGCGAAAGTTGATCGGGAAAGAATAGCACTTCGTTTGTTGGGGAAGATCTTTTTAATCACTCTGCAGAGTCAAAGTACATTTTTGTGTCACAGTATTGTAATGCAGTCTATGCAAAAGATTAGCAGCCCTTGAAAATGACCCAACATGTGGAATGGAATGTCCAAGATAAATTCGCACCAAATTATTACAACAACAACTTGCATTTATATAGCACCCTTCACACTGGGAAGCGTCCTGGAGCGCTTTACAATATCAGAGTCTGACAACGAGCAGGATTTGAAGGCAGGATTTGAAGGTGAGGAGGGCGGAGGCAAGGCGGAGGGATTGAGAGAGAGATTATTGACGCTGCTTCATACTGTAACACCATTTCACATCAAAATGCACAAACGTTCTTGTACAAATCAACCTTACTCTTCAGTCGCCAGTGTCATTGAGTGACCATATAGACTGTGGACATCATAATGAATTCCTGCAGTTTGCTTAGCATCCATGCAAACGGTCTTGAAGTACATTACATTATCAACGATCCCTTCAGAAGAAATAACATGAAAAGGATATTTGAGATTCACAGTGTGTGCAAAGGAAATAGAATAAGATCATAACAAAACCTCAGGCAATATGTCAAACGATGCTAGCCTTTTGGAACACTTATTGTTGCTACCAAACTGCAAATTTATGTTGCATTTCTCTTGATCACATTTCTCCGAGTGGAACAAGGGAAACAACTCATAGAAGCTGCATCGTAGATCCTATTGAACTGAGTATTCGAGATGTTCTGTCTTAGTAAAGATCACTAACACTGAAATGGGGGTGGTTGAGCGAGTGAGGGAATACTCCTGGATGGAATCAATCAATGAGATATGTTGACGATGCTGTAGTGGGTACTTATGGCCCCATTCCCCCAATCACTTTGAGGTCAGCCAAATTCGGACAATTATGTATTCAAATACATATCAAAACTGACTGCCCTTATACCTCGACCCAGCAATGCTTCAACTCTAGATCAGTCCCTGCATTCTAATAGAGTAACCTCTACATTGCTCCTGTTCAGATTCATTTTAGTTCTCTTGCGAGACCCACACAAACTTACTTGGGATGAAAGGTGGATGGTTCCATTGGTTACTATTACATCCTTTCTTTGAACCTTGCTTGAAGCTGGACACCTCGTTCATATCCTGCAAATGAGAGTGCGAGAACATCATTCAAGTGTAATTCTCATTAAAGAGCTTCAAGAGGCGCACAGTGCAAAACCAGAAAAAAGTGAGTTTCAAACCATCGAGGCAAAATGGAAACAGGGTTAATGATCAGCAAATATGAAGTGGAACGTACAATCCAGATTCCGTCGAATTTTACTTCTTTGTAGAACCGTTCACATTCATCCAGCCACCACTTAATGCACTGCGGGTTTGTGTAGTCAGGAAAGACGGTCTCCCCGGGCCACACCTAGAGCACGGGACGTTGAAAAATAGAAACAGAATCACAATACAATACTCGTAGCTGTTAGAATCTACTCTACAGGAAATTTCATTCATCAAATCATACCAAAATGCCGCTCGTCACAAAGCCATTGACTCTTGGAGAATAAACAATGTTTTAATGACTATGTAATTTATAACCTCAATATTTTTAAGAATAGAAAAGCACACACATCTTTTGATAATTTTTAGTGCATCCAGATATTGCATTTTTAATATCACAGTCAGTGCTTTCATGCAGATTAGAATTTGCATAGTTTATTTTGTATGATTTATCGCTACCTAACTACCAAGAATAGTATGACTTGAGTTACCTCTCCTACAATGGGCGTCTTTCCATCAGATTCATTAATCCATACACCCATCTTTGTGCCTCTATCATATGTTTCGTACGGCCCATTTATCAGTTTTTCGGTGCTAATCGCAGGATCCTAAATTTGAAAGAGACAGAATTGAGATCAGTTGAGTAGTGGAACTCTTCATTCCCCTTACATTTCAAAATGTCAAAGTCACAAACCAGAACGCAGTCCTGGAATGCAAATCCCTCTTGCGCTGATTTTATTAAAACTGATCTTAACATCAGAAATTGATTGGTTTCGCAGTCGTCAGCCATAATAATGTGGTACTTGAAAGACTGCCATTTCCAAAACACTTTATTATTGCATTTAATTCTATGTAGTGGTACGGTACACGATCAGTGAAAATGCATCTGAACCATTCGCATGTTCTAACTTTTTATGTATCCAAAAGTTGAATTTTTTTAAGTCAAATTTTATTGCATAAATTTTCTCTCTCCCCCCCACCTCCTCACTCTCCACCCCCCCAATAGGCCAATTTAGACATAACCATGATCTGTTAAACGTCATCTGTTTGCAAATTGGAATATTATCATCTAACTTTCTGGTTTATGTGGCTTTTTGCTACATCAGATTACTCACTAGAGAAGAGCATGACAAAATACATTTTTTATGAGCTTACCAAAATGAGGATGAATTTCTGTCCATTGTCATGTAAGTTATCAGCAAAACTTGGGAGATTTTTGAAATTCACTTTATCATAAGTAAAATCCTTCTTGTTCTCCATGTAATCGATATCAATGATTTGGGTATCCTGAATGATTTTAATTAATTGAGCACAACACAGTTAGCACATAATTAACAATATTTATATTCTATTGAGAGTAAAATTAACATGGTTGGGTACATTCACAAAGATACACACTGATGATTATTTTAAGTTTTTGATCACTGGATCAAAATGTTCATCAAGTTATCACATTTTCAAGTTAATAAGAAACTAAATGGAGCTGAGGGCTACATCTTTCTGCATTATTTACCAGTTGTTATTTATTTTAAGCAACCAAGATGCTCTTTGTTTGCTTAAAATAAAACTTACGCTGTAATTATACCAAAAAGAAATGATCGCACTTACAGCTGGAATATGTTAATATTCTTACTAATGTCTCTGAAACTATCCTGCAATATTTGCTCTCCTTTATTTCTCAGTAATCCTTCTCATGATGTGCTTATTCCTTATTAAAATACTTATGAAGATCTCCTTGTCTTAGCCTATAGGACCATGCATTAAAATTTCAAGATCATTGGGGAAAATTCTTAAATTCAAGTCTCAATTGGTTGGTTTTAAGTGCCATAAAAATACATTCTAACATAATTCAATCGCTTTTTCCCACTGAAGAGAGAGACACATTGCCCCATATTGTATATTCTGAGTGATAACCTGGCACTGATCAGGGGAAACAAAGGAACATATGAGAATGCAAAACAGACACTGACGAGTACTGCTTTCCGAAGATCTGAACTACTCACATATGGCAGGTCTATTTTGCGGTTCCTCTCCACTGTTGCCAAAACCTCATCAAGATCTTTATAACCCCAGCGACTAAGTTGGAATCCCAGGATCCAGTATGCTGGCATCATGGGTTTGCCAACCAGCTGCATGTAGGCACACAAAACAAATTGGGTGTAAATATTTCACTTTACAGAACAATAGGGTCTCAAAGCTCTCGCAGATGTGACCATGATTTGCTGAAGGGCGCAATATAAATGCAAGGCGTCGTTGACGTTTCTTGCACAGCACAAATAGATTATCGAATGATTTGGACATCACAGTTTTGCAACGTCCAGATACACTGCTGGGGGTTTAGGGTGACTCTTAACTTACCGTTAAGTATTCCTGAACAACATGTTCAGGTGAAGAACCCAAGAAGATGTAAAAATCCAGGACTCCACCTATTGTTCGATATGTTATTGCTGGAGTTGGCTGCAGTTCAACCTCTGGTTTAAAAAAAACGAATCCAGTCAGGATTAATTAGTTAGTCCACAAGTATGCATGAACGAGGTTATGAACTTGTCCAGTACCTGAATTGTTAATGTTTTGACTTTCAAGGAAATGTCTGTACCTTCAAACCTCAGTGACAACCCAGACATGCAATTTGATCTCAGGTGAAGGTTCACTCTTTACCATAGAAGGACGATTTGTTTAGATATGGTGCTCAATTGTTTACCGTTGAAAGGGTGAAGTACTGAATTGGCCCAGTGGGACTCAAACCTTCTGATTCCACAATTGGCTTGACCAGTGTTTCCAAAGTTGTGTGTGTTGCATTGTGCTGGGCATTGAGGGAATAAGGTTGAGATACATTGAGGGAATAAGGTTGTGCAGCTGGGACATTAACCAATGGAAATGGGGACAAGAGTCCTTTAAAACCCGAAAAGCTAACATTAAAAAGCACCACATTGTTGAGTGAGAGTAAATTAATAATTCATCCATTCCACTGGTTGCCACAGAAAGCTTACCCATGGCATTGCTATTCAGCAAAAACACACCAAAGGATAATCCACTCTCCTCTTCCAGACACATAAAAAATGTGTGGTGGCCATAGAGATTGTCCATGTTCTGTTAAGTGAAACAAGCCATGTATAAACGTCTCAACGGCATTTATATCACACAATATTAAGATAGTGTCTGGTAAACAAGCACTGAAGCACCTCAGCACCGCTGCCAGTCAATGAATTACACAAAATAAACCATTTATATCACCACCATAAGTTTAAAATGTATTCACACTCTTCACATGATCCCCTACCCTGTTTGGGTAGGGGATCATGTGAAAGGTGTGAATACATTTGAAACATGCTTTGAGATGGCCGGCACTGCATTAATGTAAAATGTATAGTTTGTAGAGTATCATTATGGAGTTATTTAGTTTTAGTTAGTATTTAATAATAATAATCCTTGCATTTGATCTAGTGCCCTATCATGACTTCAAGACGTCTCAAAGCGCTTCACAGAATATACTGTAAAGTGAATTGACTGCATTTTTGTGGGCGAAACTCAGCAGCCAATTGCGCACAGCAGCGTCCTACAAACACTCGTGGATTGAAGTAATCAGTTTATTATCTTTCTTTAGGGAATTATTACCCCCTATAATATGTATCCCAAGGATCCATTGTTCTGTGTTTAATATCTAATTTTATACTTAAAGGCAACTGAGCTACAAAATAAACCCAGTGAAAATATCAAACTGCATAACCCGTCAAGTCAAAGGGCGGGCAGTGATTTTTTTTTCTGTAGACTATTGTTCGCAAGACATTCAGGAAATTTCTTCCGTGCTTGACAGTCGAACTGATAAATGTTTCCAGCAGCAGTTGTTGGTGGAAGTAAAAGCAGCATAAATAATACAGAACCAGGAACCATCAGGCACAAGGCAGCACTTAACATGAATCTAAGTGACATTCAACAGGCCTTCATACCCCATTAGGGAAAGCATCTCTGGCGAAGATAGGCCAGGTTTTCCAGTACGTGTCGTGACGGTACTGTTTATGAACGTGCTCTCCTAGTCCGTAGATGTTGTGCGTGGGAAGTTTGGCTGTTATTTGTATAAATTGATCAGCAAATTGCAAAGGTCCCACCGAAGTATCAAACCTAAGGAAAGAAATATAACCAGGTTTGAAATCTGTTTGGTGCCCTGAAACAAACAACAACATTTTTACTGTGACTTTCATGTACTCGAGGGAGGAAATTCCAGAGATGGGGATGAGATTACTGAAGCCTCAGTCACCAATGATGACAAAGCTGTTGACAAATCTCTCCCTCTCAGCTACTTCCTCGTAAAATGTATGCACCACTTTCCTTGGTCAGCTATCAGAGGTTTCTGTGTATTCTGGTCTCCTGCATTCAAAAGGTTTTCTTTTAAAAAAAATCACTGAATTGTCTTGTAGTCGGACAAGATTTTTTTTAGAATTTATTGTATTTATCTTTTTGCCTTTTCAATAAAGGATAGTTAGAGTTGCCACCAGCAGCTCCCTTATGCAAAGGAATGTGAGCGTTATAAATAATTTAGTATCTGTTATTATTTGAAGTTTTTATGGAATTTTATATGGGTTGGGAAGATATGACATTCGTTTTTGAATATTGCAAGAAAATACCATGTGTGGAATATTCAATCCAGGATTATTATTATAATAATAATAATAATAATCCTTGCATTTGATATAGCGCTTTTCACGTCGGGAGGACGTCCCAAAGCGCTTCACAGAACACACTGTAAAGTGAATTGACTGTATATTTGTGGGCGAACGCGGCAGCCAATTGCGCACAGCAATGTCCCACAAACAGTCGTAGATTGAAAATGACCAATTTATTATTATTTTGTTTTTTTGGAGGGATTATTATTAGGCTCTGTGTGGAGTAAGGAAACTTGCCCAAGGTTTCACCCTCTGCCTGGAATTGAACTCAGGTCTCTCACTTGCAAATCGAGTGCTCTAACCACTGAGCTACAGGACTCCATGAGTTATTATTAATTGTTGAGGGGAATGCAACTGCTATTGGAAACCAACGGAGAAGATGCGAGAAGAAAAATAAGCCAAGGTCACCTTTCTGTTTAGGAAAATCAGCATCTGAACCATCAAAAATTAAACAGTTGTGAAAAGAAGACATCACAGATGCTTTGAGTGACACATTGGGAAAGAAACAGGAAGGTAAAACTGCTAGACAAGCTTCTTCTCTATACAGTTAGGGTTAGTGGCCCAAATACGGCAGTTCTGGAGGTAACGGGTGAGGAGAGTTGGCCTGGAATGCTTCAGTCTGATAAGAATGCCAGGGTGTGACAGGCACAGTTGTCACGAGAGGTAGCAGAAGAGCAAGTAGGATTGAACCAAAGTGGCAGCGACTGATCTGACAGTCGGAAAAGCGTGAGATAATGAAACCTGCCATATCAGTTAGAATAACGTCAGTCACTTCATTGACATTTCACTGAAGGGTCAAAGGACTAGAAGCAGAATTTGGATCCGGATAAAAAGAATTCTCTAAGGCCATCCCCATCAGCTGATTTCAGTGCCAGCTCAGTCAGTTGAGGCTTGTTCACTGATAGTCTGCAGAGCGCAGATATGAAAGAATCCTGAGGTATGGAAAGGGAAACAGTGCAGGACTAAAGTATGGGATTCAGAAAAAGCTCCAGGAAATTCACTGAATTGTTAAAAATAGTTCTTTGTCTAAAACCTGGCTTCATAAGGTGTGGATTTGCTGCCACCGCAGAGCTTTAGGACAGAAGATTGATGTGGTCACATCTATCATTCAAGTACAAATCGCTTCAATCCACAATGTTTTTAGGACCATCAATGAGTGAACAGGTCTACAAATACATAATGCGGGCTGAGTAAACTCAGAATTATTTCATGTAATTTATGGCCTGGTATTATGTAAAATTTTGCTTTCTCAGGCTTCTGAATAAAGGGCAAATGGATGTGTGAACGTGGCATCTTTATAATCTCTAAATGCATTGATAGTTTTAGGACATAATAAGTCACTCATTATTTTTATAAAAATAAAAATACTGCTTTGCTTTCAGATAAGTTGCAGATCAATAGCCTGGCTGATTTTCCCTGTTATGTCATACCCATAAATGGGGACCATTTTATTTAAATTTAGCTCAGTATGTTGTGCAAGCCCAATTGATGGAAGGCAATTTTGATAATGTTAAGACTTTGATTTTAATCATAAAGTTCAAATGAAAACATTTATATCTTCTCAACATGAAGTACATTTGGAACAACAAAGTCTTGTGGTTCAAAGTACTTGAGGTTATTTAAGTACTAGGAAACATTACAATATGACAGAGGTTGCACAGAAAGAGGGTGAGAGGGATGATTTAGGATTTGAAAAAGTAGGGACAGTGTGTGTGTGTGTCAGTGAGAGCGAGGGAACTCAGGTACACAAGAGAAAACTACGGACTGGATTAAATAAGGTCAATTGTTCGCCACTAATTCCATATATCACTTTGTCTTTTAAGAGAAGTATATTTATGAGAAAATTACTTACAAGACAGTTTTTGTGGACTTTCTGGTGATTTTGATTCCAAAAGGATTCTGATTAACACTGACTTCGTAGTTTGGATTCGACACTGCTTTACCAGTGAAAGGCTTGATATTTTCATGATCAACTTCAAATCGTCTCTTGCTAGAATCGGTAATCTTAAAAAAACAATCAGGTAACATTAAACGCGAGGTATGATGTCTAGATGGTTATAAAATCACAAAAGAAACTATATGGTGTGTTAAATTAAGCGCAAATCATTTCAGGATATCAGGGTATTAAATAATAACAAAATGAAGGTTATTACATTTCTACTTTAGGTTTCATTGACGGAATATTAGAAATTATCTCTACATCAATGATAAAAAGAATACACTGAAACAGATTAATTCCAGAGTTTTTTTTAATGTAGATGACCTAAGTGGTGATAAAAGGAAATTGAAATATGGGAAGAAAAGAATGTTCAATGCCTTTTCCTAACTCCTTTCACTATATAATAATAATAATCTTTGCATTTGATACACCACCTTATCACGTCTTTGAGACGTCTCAAAGCGGTTCACAGAATATACTGTAAAGTGAATTGACTGTATATTTTGTGCGTGAAACACGGCAGCCAAAATGCGCACAGCAGCGTCCCCACAAACACTGGTAGATTGAAGTAAACAATTTTTAATATTTTCATTTGTTTTTATATATTTTAATCATGGAGTTCCCAAGCTGCTATCTCACCTTTGATTTCCCCCTCGACAAAGCAAAAGTTTATTTTCTTTCAAAAAGTTGCTCACCTTGAATCGGAAACGATTTTCTGTCTGCTCTTCCCCAGTCAACACTAAGTTTTCAACAACATTCCCAAAAGGGAAAGGAGAAGGCATTCGTTTCAAGTGAACTTGAAACCCTTTGTTTGCCACCGAAAAAAGAAAATTCTGTTAAAATACCCTCACTGGGAAAAAACAAACGTTCAAATTACTCTTGCCAACCGAAGACAATTTGGAGTTGACAAACTTTTTAGTGATTAAAATTATAATTTTTAATCATTAAATTATTTAATTACACAATCACTTTTGACAAATTAAGAAAGTTTGGAGTTGAGGTACTGATCAGCCATGATCTAATAGAATAGCAGAACAGGCTTGAGAGGCTGAATGGCTTACTCCTGTTCCTTTATTCCTATATTCTTATATACAGGGTGACCAAAAAGTCATGAAATCTACCCTATTATCTAAACAAAGACAAATATCATAATTTCTTTAAGACTTATCAGCCGTTGTAATGGTATCACAACTTTTTGGTCACCCTGTATACACAAGTGGCCGGGTATCTGAATATTGGGAGCTGCAGTACAAACCTGCTCGTGTTTTGACTTGGTTATTCTGAGCTGTGTATCCCTGATTCTTCGAGAAGAAGCACCAGGGCACATTTCTATCTTCTATCGGTTTCCAACAGCAGCCTCGTTCTTCACATTTTTTCTGACAAGGAGCAAAGCAGATGATAATAATATGCCAAGTGTTTTTCTAACTGCTGTTACTCCCACTTGTGTACCAACTCGTTTTATCTCCCGCACATTTGTTAAGGTCTTTCCCTACTTTCTTTTTTTTTAAACCACAGAATATATTATCAGTGATAATTGCCTGGGCACAATTATTTGCAGATAGTTGTACTTTCTATCGGTGTCAACCTAGAAATGGGTGATCCTTGCCATTGGTGCGATGTTAATTCTTATGCAGACTATTTAATACTATTGTAATCTTTCAAATGACTATATAATTACATATATTTTATCTGAGGGTTAATGTCAAAGAATCTTACAGTAGTGAGTCATGTTACCGTGTCTAAAAATGTTGGCATGTGTCTTACATTAGAACTGGCAAACTTCAAGCCTGGCAGATTTTGACTCGATAATAACTGAAACAGCAAACAAATTGGATAATGGTTGCTAAGGCTTTTATACTTTCATTAGCTCTGATATTCATTTTCCTTGTGTTAAGTTATTTTACGTAGAATTACATTGCATAGACTGTACGTGGGAAGATAGATAACACAACTGGTCTGTGTTGGTGTTCAAACACCACCAGGTCCCAAACTCCGAATCGTCTCTCCCATACAACGTTATTCTCTTCTCCCTCACGTACGCATTGAGTTTCCTCCTAACTGCATTGATAAACCGTGTAATGTAGTTTCCTACGTGTTTTTCCTTCCCCTATTTTCTCCGCTTCTGCCTCCCCCACTCCCCCCCGAAGACATACATTTTTTCCCCATCTCCTGGTGCTGGTTCCACAGGTGCTAATCACTTTCCAGTACCTTGTCCAAGTAACAATTGTTCACATGGCTTTTCGACTGCAGTCGTGGAGATGTAATAAAGTGACTGTAATTTCTAATAACTACCATAATCTTGATTGATAAGTATATATTATTATCAAAGTGCTGGAGAAATGTTTGAGAAAAGCTTTTAACATTCGATAAAAAACGTCAAAATCGCAAGGTACCCCCCAAAAATGTTTGCTGCCGATTTACTGCAGCAATTGTGGTCCGATTGGGGTTTACCATCCACAGATAACTGAAACCAAGGATCCTTTGACTACGATTTTGCAATGGGATTTTCCAATGTAAACTCCTAGTGAAAAAATGTTTTTTTTTTTAAGTGTTCAAAAAAGATAGCTCTGGGCAACTGCAACAATGCTAAACATGGTCAGATTTAAGTGAAGTAATGCCCTGTGCCAAACAATCGTGCAGGACTGCAGGAACAAGCCATGTTTCCTTCAACCCCAGTTACGCATCGTTTACTTGTTTGGTACATTGTGAAAAAAATCTAAGTGCAGATCGTAGACCTATAGATAACATTGTAAATAACACTAATGATTGTAACTCTTTTGGGGGTCAATATTCTCGTACCCCTCTGATCCTCTTCCTCTCGAAGATAATTGATTTTTGCTGGGATTTGGCTCTGTTTCAGTGACTTGCCCAGGACCATTCTTTATGTGTGATTCATGGCAGGTTATTGGACTATGAGGGCGATAAGAACCAAATTGCATTCTGCGCTCACTCAAAATCGATACCTGTCACATTGCAGCAAGGGTCACTGGTTAGCAATCAGAAGGTGATTTCTTCCCCCACCCCCCCCCACACACACACTCCAGGTGTGTTAAATCCTTATTGTAGAACTCCCTACTGTCTGAGATCAATCAGCTACCTCAGCACAAGGCATCAGAGAAGCTTATGATGCTCCTTAAAATAGAAATCTAATAACTGTAAGATGTGCAGATCTGCATCGTATGTGAGATGTTCATGAAAACCCCCGGCAGGCAGATTTCCAGTGTTGGCACTGAAATGCAGCAGATATTAATATTAGTCTGCAGTTATCAGATTATTTCTGTATCGCTCGTGATAAACTGCTTTTTAAATTTACTTTGACAGTCACTTCAAATTTTACAAAATTAAAAATAAACACTCAAACCCAAAGCTGTTCAATAATAAACGACTAATAATAAACAGAATGTTTTTTTTCTCGGTTGTCATTGAGGATTTCTGGGCTGGGGGGAAATGACAATTAAGAGCAGGAAGCTCCTGGTTTTCTGATAATCATCTTGACGTTTCTAAAATGAGTCACTAACTCGATGACACTCGTGGCCTAGTTAAAATCTGGTTACTATTGTCACATTCTTAATTATTATCAGCTGAATTACGTGTCATAAGCCTTTCTGAAAGCATCTGATTCTGATTTGTTATTTTATATTCAGATTTGAATTTGAACACAGGTACCTTTACATGTGAGCCTTTTCATAGACACTGACCTTGACGTGATATTCAGAAACATTATTTTATATTGGGAGCCTTGGGAACAATAGGAAGCCATTCAGCCTCGTTAATACCAGTGTATTGGATCACAGCACACCTTTCAGTCTCATTTCCCTACATTTTCTTCATACTCTTACATCTCAGTGATCTATCCCAATCGATTCTATTTACTCGGCTTCTTGGAGTTGTGCACTCCACATTTTCATAACCTTCTGATCTGACTATCCTAACATCTGACTATCTTAAATTTAACATGTCTGTTTGTTTTGGGCTCCTCTTGTTGTCCACTATCTAGATTTTCAATCCCGATTATTATTTTCAACAGCTTGATCAGACCACTGCTTAATCACCGTTAAGATCAGCGTTTCAAGGCTACCCAGCCAATCATCATGACAAAACCCATTATTCCCAGATGTTAAAGAATTATCACTGAACATTCTCCAAGGCTAATATAGCCCAGATAAAATACTGATTATTTACAGTGATAAAGTGAAGTGAGTGTGGTGTATGTGAATGGATGGCATATGCTACTGAATGCTATAAGGCACAAAAAAATGCTGAGCGTGAGAAATGCAATGTGGTCAAAGTCAACGCAGAATCATAGCCAATGAAGAAGCACACCCAATAAGGCTTTCTTCTCACATCTGAAGAAACTTAATTGTCCCAATTAATCCTACATTAGCCAAAGGCATTGTTCCATCTTTGCTGTGAATTCTAAATCATTAAAATAAAGCCACAGCATTTTCTTTCCTTTCAGTCACTTTCCTTTCTCCTCAACTCAAGGCACTGACTCTTTACTGAGGTACAGTTACACGGACATCTGCCATACTCCAGTTCCTTGTTCTTCGTATGGAGCCTTAAGCTCTAAGACCAGGCTATTTGTCCTGGAAGCCATCACGGTCCAGCCCACCCTACCCCTCAGCCAATGTCCATACACTTTCCCTTTCCATTTGATAGCACTTGAGTGGAAAACCCATCTGATATTCCTCTTCGTAATCTAGGTTCCATAGACCATTTGCATAACCTCAATTGCAGGCCTGGCTAAGATCCATTTATTCAGCACAAACAAACTTGTGACTTTCTACTGAACAGGACTTTGTGTTGCATTGAGAGGCGCCTTTATCTAATAGGATTTCAGAAGAATCTATTTTGCTTTTGCATTGATAGCATGGGAAACAATGATAATTTTATAGCGTTCAAGTTATGTACTCACAGATCGCTATTTGGTAAAGACACACAAATAGCCCTTTCTCAAGTGAACTGCTCCATGAATAATAGCATCAAAAACATAGCTGAGGTGTGAAGCGTGCAAAAGAGTAATATTACTATCATTGCCAGAAGATGAAGAGCAAAAATAATGCATGAAGCAAGGCAATTATAGTGAAAAATAGACTCATTTGTAGCTTCTTGGTTGAAGTTTTAATATTCCCTCTTTGATGGCACGCTAATATAAACTGTTCAATGCAGATATTAGCCTTGATCTGACCTCCCCAATCATTTCCTTCAATTCCATGAGGAACATTCAGGTGAGAACAGGGAAACCCATTATGATCTGACAATAAAATGTAAGGGTTACACATTCAGAAAGCAATCTAACATTGGAGCAATGTCATGAATAAAAGATTAGGTCTGGTTTGTACAGGGCAAGTTTGCACAAAACTGTAGAAGAAATGTTCTAAACTGACCAAAGTAGCACCTCCATCAGGGAAACAGTTAATTCGATCACCATTGGGAACAGAGGATGGACAGTCTGCTGCAAAGGGTACTTCAGCTTTGACTGTGGAGGCACCAACAACAGGGCATTAGTCATAGTGCAAATAACACCAGAAATCTATACAGAAATGTCATTGTAATTTGTTTTTGTGAAGTATTTCAAGCAAAGACTATGAATATGTTATTGTTTCAAATATGAAGAGCAGGTCACAGATGATTTACTGTATGTGGATGTACTCTTAAACTACTATTTAAACAACACCTTGCACATATATAGCGCTCTTCACGTAGGGGAGCATTTCAGAGTGCTGAACAATGGCAGGGATGGACATGGAGAAGGGGAGAAAAGGATGGTGACCGCTGGCATGGTCGAAGAGGAAAGAGTTCAGGTGGGATTTGAAGATGGGTAGAGGGGGCAAGGCAGAGGGATTGCAGTAGGAAGTTCCATAGGTTAGGGATGCAGTGACTGAAGGCATAACCGCCAATGGTAGGGAGGGGTCAGTGGACGTACGAGAAGGCCTGAACCAGCCAAGCAAAAGGGGCGGCTATAATAAAGGATAGAGATTCTAAATACGTTTTCCAACTCACAATGCGTCAATTACAATAACAACATAACTCTAATACTCATTGGACATTCAAATCTAGAACCTGAGTAAGTGGTGCTAATGAAACGTGATACCATATCGAGCTTTGTGTGTTACAGTCATTGCTTTGCCATTATGGCAAAACAAGTTAAGATTGGCTTTAATTATGAACAGATTTACTGTAATTTTTTAATATTATGAATTACAGCAAAATTACACTGCATAACAATTAAAAATGGAATGAACTGCAATCCATCTAGAGAGAATGAATTATTAGTTACACGGCGTATATCAGCATTGTTGTTTTTTTTACCTGATCTACAGGTTCCAGGTTCCCCAGTGGCCAAAAGTGCAATTAAAACGACCGCCACAACAAAAGCGATGAGACACACAACAACAAGTGAGGATTCTAAACCAGAATACTTTTTTCTGCACCCCATCTGTCAAAGCAAGCAGAAGAATATAGTGAGAATGTAAATCAAACACAAGTTGTGTTATGAAACTATTTGGGAACATATTTGTAAAACTTCCAACACAAAGCCAAAACACTCTGTTCATTGTGCCTCAGTAACTGTTCCTACTATTTTTTTCATGCAGTATTGCAAGAATTGGTTTGCACTGTTGCTAAAGTCTCTCTATGCTATCACATCCATATGATTTCAGAACACGCATAAGTTTGTACCTTTTTTTTTAGAACAGCCAAGTTTCTGACATCTTGCATCACTTAGTAACATGCTCCATTTTCAGACCAATTGATAATCACAGAGATGAAGGTAGACCATTTAGCAGTCCCTTCACCATTGCCTGAACTTTCTGCTTGTTCTAAGTTCCAGTGCAGAGAGCCTGTGCTCTCCATTGCTGATTACAAAACTCAATCTTACAAAGGTAACCAACCAAGTGGAAAATTGACTAGATAACGATCCCACCTACAATGTTCCAAGTGTTAGCCAGGCTTTTTGTTAAGTTAGTTGATTTCAGCCATGGTTGCGTTGGGCTGCCACAATTGATTGCTGTGTCCCGCTCCTGTAAATGGGGTAAATCAGCCAGGTGAGCTGCTCCTGTTCACTATTTAGTGATTCTTTGTGCTTAATATCTATATGTTGGGTGGATATACGCTCTGGTTTGGCAATGATGCCTGAAGGTTGGACACCCACTATCTGGGCTCCTATTGGAAGAATGATACATACATGAGTTACTGAAACTAGGACTTAGAGAATTATTCCCCCCGCAAACTTTCTGGGCCGACAGAAGAAAAAATGGGTAGGAAATCACCATTTTATTTTTTTAAAAAAAAGGTGTTTTCAAGTTTAACTGAGAACAATTATGCTGGATTGAAGAGGGTTTTAACATATCACAAACATATCAACCATTAACTACTGTCGTTGTGTTAGGAGCAATTATTTGATTGTTTTACTTCAGACGTCTGAAATTTGTTAAGTTTNAAAAAAGACCAAAAATAGGTACAAGTTGTGATCAATTCATAATAATATCCATATTCAAACCAGCTTGTCTTGCCTCGTTTCCTGATGCAATACAAGTAATTATCCATTGCTCTGTAGTTATTATCAATTTAACAACCTTCAGTTCTGAGTTTTTTTGGGGAATATTTTTAATTAAATGGTGGAGAATCGATGAAATCCTCAGAATAAACCTAGCTTTGGGCAATCTCTTGTTGCAGCAATGTAAAGTAAGCTGAATTAACATCAGTAGATATGCAATGTGTTCAGGATGGGTTCACAATCTTACCTTTGCAACTGTGGATGTTATTTCACACTCTTACACTACTTGTGTCAGCAGCTCCTCTGCATGTGCATCAGGATTCTCTGTTTAAAGAATAACGAAAACAAAAGAGCATTTATGTAAATCATTAAGCTGTTTTATATTTAACCACAGTATGGAAGGCGAGACTCTCTATTTAATTTCAGGGGTGAAGTGTTCTGCAATTGTAAGTTTGTCATTTACCCTCACCCATGCATTCGCTACATCAAGGCTTGATTAATGGAAACTCTCTCCTCGTCGGCCTTCCCAACTCTTCCCTTCGCAAGCTGCAGATCATCCAAAACTCTGCAGCTCGTGTACTCTCACGCACCAGGCTCCGTGACCCCATCACTCCCACCCTCGCCCGACTCCACTGGCTCCCCATCCCCCAGAGGATCGAGTTCAAGATCCTTGTCCTCACTTTCAAGGCCATCCATGGCTTTGCCCCCTCCTACCTCCCTGACCTGCTGACTCCCTACCAACCTGCCCGCTCCCTCCGTTCAGCGGGCTCCAGCCTGCTCCATGTCTCCCGCCCGACCCGCCCTACCATCGGTGGCCGGACTTTCAGCCTCTCTGCCCCCACACTCTGAAACTCCATCCCACGTCCCTTTGCCTCGCTTCCTCCCTCGCCTCTTTCAAGGCCGGTCTCAAGACCCTCCTCTTCAATCATGCCTTCAGTCGTCCTCCCACCTCTCTGCCTTCCCTCCCCAAACCCATCACCCATGCTCGGATCCCGACACCAGCACCTCGGAATGTTCTCCCAACATGAAAAGCGCTCTATAAATGTAATTTTGTTGTTGTTGTACCCTATAGTCAGTTACAGAGTCAAAGAAAATATCCTCATACCAAGAAGTGATAGTTTTAACACAGCTTTGTTATTTGCAGTAGTGCCAAGACATTATAGTGGCTGATTTGTAGAGAGTTTAAATGTCCCGTTCTCTTAGTGGGGCCTGGGAGGATGTCTCAAAGTGCCTCACAGGATTCACTGTAAAGTGAAGTGGACGTACATTTTGTAGGTGAAATAATAAAAAAAATTGTATATCAACTGGATAACAATGAAAGTTGTATTGTTTTCTCCACATTTCCTGCTGTGAGAAAGGGATTAGCCTGACCATCCTGCCTTTCAAGTCTCTGCCAAAGTCATTTTCAACAAAATGCTTAGAGGTGCATGACAACCTCAGATTTTTTTCCCTTGTCCCTGGGGTGTAGAGAACATCTTCTGCTTTCTGATAGTCTCTGATAACTGACCTGTGATCAGGTAGACACCACATTGGTATCATGAGCAAGAGACCTTTGCCCTACCTCTCCACTCCACAAAGAGATTCAGTTTTCATTTGAAAAATATTATTTTCATCCCACTTTAAATAACTCATTGGGTGCCACTGAGTTTGTGTAAAAGTTTATATTCCTATTTAGTGATCCCTCAGGAACTATTTGCTTTCTGCATCAGTGCAATTCCATGTTGGACACTGGAGAAATCAGCAGATGGCCCTCATTGCAAATATCAGCTCAGCAATACTGACACTCTAATGACCCATACAGCAAAATGGCTTCAACTTGTGGTCAACCTGGCTCAGTTGATACCGTTCTGCCTTTGAGTCAGAAGGTTTAAGTCCTATCTTCAGACTTTGAACTCACTCTGGGCTAATGGTATAATATGGTGGTGGGGGAGGAAACGCTATATTGTTTAACATGCCATCCTTTGGATGAGACTGATGTGCCTGTTCAGATGGATGTTAAAGGTTCCACTGCACTATTTCACCCACAAATATACAGTCAATTCAATTTACAGTCTTCTGTGAAGCGCTTTGAGACATCTACAAGTCGTGAAAAGCACTATATCAAATGCAAGAATTATTATTATTACTATTCAAAAATAGAAGGGAGTTTCTCTCGGTCTCCTGGCCAACAATTTTTTTAAAAAATGGGTCATTCACCTCATTGCTCTTTGTGGGACGTTGCTGTGTGCAAATTGGCCACCACAGTCACCTACAAAATACAGTCGCTACTCTTTACATGAAATCCTATGATGCCACTTTGAGTCACACTCCTAACATGAAACACACTACGCCAAATACAAGGATTAATATTATTGAAGATTCTTTGCAAGAAAAGAAACAGAGTTGAAATCCAAATATACCTTTGAAACAATTAAGTAATAAAGTTGAGTCTCAGTAAAATTGAGCTTTCTTATAGCCGCTTCCTCTTTTTTTCCTTCTGTCTGGGCATATCCCACAATATTTTGCTCTCGCCTGGTCGCATTCAACTGCACTGTGCTCCTGTCTAGGCAGTTTCATAGAATCGTACAGCTCAAAAAGAGGCCATTCGGCCCATCGAGTCTGTGCCGGCTCTTTGAGAAGAGCAATGTAATGTCATTGTTTAATTTATTATTTGCACTAATTACTTCATTAACTGCTCATGATGACTAATGTGTACTTCTTATTGCCTTCCCTGTTTGGTTACATTTATGTTTTACAATTTTACAATCACAGTAACATCAGGCAGAAGTTTTAACTTACCTCCTGTTCAATGAGTTTTTATTATCACTTTTCATCTTAGATGGAAATGATAATAACTTAGGTAAATTACCGTGGGTTTTAACACAAGTATTCAACATCAAATAAATGAATTTGACTTTGAAGCACAAAAAAACAAGTAAAATGCATTACTGGACCACGGTTGTGCGTTTTATTTTTCCTGTATCACAAAACAGTGTTATCCAATTACATTTAAGTGCTTTGTGGCATTTGTATTCCACAGGTAGTACAGCACATCAACCTTGATGTGCAAAGGAATTTTGAGGAAAGGAAAAATCAATTTTCCATCATGATTATATTAAAAGCCTGGGTACATTGTTAAGTAAAACTTTAGGCAAATATTCGAATCGTTCGAAAGTTTATTCAGAGCTGTACAAAAATCTGAACAATGCAATAAAATAGTTTTCATAAAGGTAATTTGCAACAAAGCATGGAATCGCATTATAGACAGAGGATGATTTGCAGCAAAATCAGTTAACATTGTACATTAAAAAGATGGGACAAATGCATTAAATGTGTCTTGAAAGGGCAGAGATGGTTAAAAAGAGCGATGAAAAATAATCCACTCTTACCTTTTGGTGGTACTGTATTATAGTTCTCCTTTTGCAAGCTCTGTCCTTGGAGGACGCTAAGAATATTGTGCAGAAGCCACTATAAACTGTCTAACAAAAATCATTTGATGACCAAATTAGATTGAACCCATTGCCAAACAGTTTACTGGTCATAAATAACTTTCTCCTGTACATTAACCTGGCTCTCCACAAACCTAGCTGCACTGATATGAAGTCAAAACATTAATTGGTTACCTAAAAATATATCATGTGCTGCATAATCTTCAGCCAAACAGGCAAATTATCATACCATTGTACACTTTCCATATAATGTTTAGGAGAATGGTTAATTATTTAACAACTGCTCATTGCAGCACTGTACGTTTTATAACCCAGCACTTCTCGTAATCTCTTTCATGGGAGCTGATAGTTCTTACCTCTTTCAGATATCGGCGTTTGTGCCTAATTTTAAAGCATTATTATCCAAGCCAGCTGCTCCTTTCCAATGCACCAACCGGATCCTTGTTGGTGACTGTCTCTGTTTTGTTTGGAAGCCTCAAAGAAGGTTCATAGCTCAAGGTACTCACTCTGCCACTGTGAAGCACTCCAGGACATGAGCTCACGTGAAAGGCACTTTATAAATGCAAGTTGATGTGCAAAATACCAACATAATTGAAATAAGTAAGGACGGTGAGATAAGGAGATAAATTGAGATGTGGTGACGAGTTGACACAAAACATAGGATTGGAATATTTTAGGAGGAAGGATAGACTGAAGAGAGTGAAGGAGACCTAACACTGCAGTCCAGGGAAAGATGGAACTGATGAGGTTTGATTTCCATGTACTGAGGATGCAGGGAGGGAGGGCGTCAGAAACAAGATGTGGCGTTTCAGAAGAGCAATGATCATAGGAGGTTTAATAACATGGAAACAGATGAGACATTCAAATGGGGAGAGCAAATGGTGACTGCAGGATCATTTATCATATGACATGATACTTTGCTTGCATCATGTTTGCATGTGAGAAGTCTGAGAAGATCTTGAGGTTTGAGAGCAAAATTCAGCACTTGGATTTTATCAGAGAGTTAACAGAAAGAGTTG